AAGCACATTAAAATTTAAAGAAATTAAACCAATATAAATTAGACTTACTTTATGTGTTTTTATTTCCTTTGGAAAATGAAAGTATATGTATCTTTGTTTTCACTGGAGTGGTGTAATTATATCCAATATTGTCATTGTACATGATTTTAAATAGTGAACACAACATTTTCGAACTGTGTAATGTAATGTTTAAGCAAGAAATAAGCTATTTTTTCTTAAAAAAACCAACCCATCTGTATTTTTTCCTTAGATAATAATATATTTTTTTTGTATAATTTTTTAGTCTTTAATCTTTCTGGTTTCTGTATTCTTAGATATTTATCATACATGAATGATGGCTTTTTTAGTAATGATATCTTTAAGCATTTCATCCTTTTCTTTATGTGAATTTTAGGTTTGCTATTCCTCCAGAGCATGGCAAGCGGTTTGAAAGACTAGCTCAAGGTAGGATTTTCAATATTTCCATATGTAAGATGTTTGAAGGACACACTCCCAGCAAAGTGAAAATCAATGTCCTTGACTCTACTGTGTTTTATTACTTAATGTTGTGTGACTTTTATCTGTGTATAGTGTTATTGCAACCAAGGAACACTGTGTAGTGCTCTGAAGAATTCTTAAGAAAGAAAATGGTCTTTTTTTCTTTTGGTTTTTTTTTTCCCCTTCTAGTAGAACTTTATATATTTTACTGGCATTTTCAGCTTGGTGGTATAAACCCACTTTAGCTAAAGCATGTGCTGGCTTTTGCCCTCCACAGGTGTGAGGAATGTTTGTGGAGAAGTAGCAGAGATTTTCTTCTAAGGTTGCAGCCTTAACGGATAAAAATAATTAGTTTATAGGAAAATTCTCACACAGTAATTTGTTTTGTTTTTCAGTAGTACTACAGCTCTCTTTTTGTTGCCAAATTAGGAGTGCAATTTATGAACATGGGAATAATTAGGCAGATTTCTTGGCCTGGCAGGTCGTGTTTTATAGCCTACTGTTAACCATAGTTATTAAACATAAAGAATGCAGTTGAAGGTTCATAATCAGATATCATGCATCAGGACTGAATTCTGATTTTTTTTTTTTGTACCTTTTTGTTTTCATATCCTTTTGGGGTTCTTTTTGTATATAGGTGCATGACTGGTTTTATGAGCTATTTTTAAACTGCTGCTAAGAACAGTAGGAGGGCAGTTAGAGACATACAAGTAAAGATGTTTGAACTTCCAGTCTTAAAAGCGTATCTCTAAAAGAACAGATTTCAACCTGGGTAATTGCATTTCCTGTTACTAAATTTCATCATAGTTTCAGTTGAAAAATTGTCACTTGTTTTCTTTGCTTTCCAACTTGCAAAATGTAGAACTCTTTGTATGTGTAATTTGAAGCTTTTGTTTTTCACTGGTAAACAAATAGATACATGTGGACTGGGCAAGAACCAGATTCTTCTTAGTGGCTGAAACCAATAAAACAAGAGGTAATGGGCAAAAACTGATGCACAGGAAGTTCGCCTCAATACGAGGAAGAACTTCATTGTGTGAGTTGCTGAGCACTGGAACAGATTACCCAGAGAGGTTGTGGATTCTTCCTCACTGGAAGTATTGAAGGACTGTCTGCATGCAATCCTGAGCCATGTACTCTAGGATGACCCTGCTTGAGCAGGGAGGTTGGACCAGATGAGCCAATGTGGTCCCTTCCTACCTAATCTGTGATTCTATGTAACCTATACAAATTCAGGAAGGTGGTAACTTTTGGAGATACATGTTTTGCTACATACAAAAAGAAAGTACTGTGTTAGGAAACTGACCTGAAGGTACTCAGGCCCCTTGTTGCTGATAATGGTGTCCTAGTACAGTAAGAGAAATAGGAGATAAAATATGGGGAGAAATGGAAATCTCCAAACCCACTGTTTGTCAGAAGCCAGTAAGTTATGCCAAGGGAATGGAGTCTTAATGTCAGAATGTTAGAGTCAGAATTGGATAACAGGCTAAATGGGGCTCAGGACTTCAGTCTCTCCTAGCATAACATTTTTGAGGTCCAGAACTACTGGGAGAAGGTAGAACAGAAAGGGACATGGCTTCCAGTACAGTGGCATATGTGTGCATTGTTTTCCACAGCTGGGAACAGGAACCCAGTTCACAGGATCACAGAATAGGTCAGGTTGGAAGGACCACAGGTCATCTCCCTGTTCCTCCTTTCCTCCATGGCACAGGATTGCATCCAGATGATTCTTGATTATCTCCAGTGAGGAAGACTCCACAGCTCTCTGGACAATCTGTTCCAGTGCACAGTCACTTGCACAGTAAAGCAGTTCTTCCTCATATGCAAGTGGAACTTGCTATGCATTAGTTTCTGCCTGTTACCTCTTGTCCTATTGCTTGGCACAGCTGAGGAGAGCCTGGCTCCATCTTCCCTTCAAATACTTGCATGCATTGATGAAGTCCCCTTTCAGTTATCTCTTCTCAAGGCTGAACAGGCCCAGCTCTCTCAGCCTTTCCTCAGAAGAGAGGTATTCTGTTCTCTTAGTCATCTTTCTTCCCCTCCACTGGACCCACTCCAAGAGCTCCATGCCCCTCTTTTACCAGGGAGCCAAGAACTGGACACAACATCCCAGATGTACCTCACAAGGGCTGAGTAGAGGGACAGGTTCACCTACCTTAACCTGCTGACAATGCTCTTCCTAATGCATGCCAGGATCCCACTGGTCTTCTAAGCCATAAGGGCACATTGTTGACTTATGGACAGCTTGTTGTCCACCAGGACCCCCATGTCCTTTCCACAGAGCTGCTTTCCAGCAGGTCAGCCCCCAGCCTGTGCTGGTGCTTGGGGTTATTCCTCCCCAGTGCAGGACCCTGCACTTGCCCTTGTTGATTTCACGTGGTTCTTCTTTGCCCACCTCTCCAAACTGTCAAGGTCCTTCTGAAGGGTTGCACAGCACTCAGGTATCCTCCCAGTTTTGTTTCATCAGCAAACTTGCTGAAGAGGCAGTCTGTCACATCGTCCAAGTCACTTATGAACACATGAAACAAAATAGGGTTCAGTACACAACCTTGAGGGGACACCTCTAATGACAGACCTCCGACTAGACTCTCTGCCACTGACCAGCACACTCTGAGATCTGCTGCTCAGCTAGTTCTCAGTCCACCTTACTGTCCACTCATCCAACCCACACGTCCTGATTTTGACTGTCCTTGAGTTCCTTGATCCTTACTGATTTAAAGAAGTTGCCCAGACATGTCACTCAGTCTTGGCCTGTATACATCTGCATTGAAGTAAATTGTCTACTGCTGCTCTTAGTGATATGTTAGTATAAGTTATAAACAGCTGTGTGGAGAATGGAAAACTACTTTCCTTGATGAGTCATATGTATGATCAGAACTTAATTAATTTTTATTTCAGAACCATGTTTTGAATAGGAAATAGCAAACAAAACGTAGAATCAGATACTGAACAGTGATCATAAAATTTCCAATAGTGTGTATTCCATTATATTCAGTGAACAAATCAGGATTTCTGTGGAAAAATGATAAACACATACAGAGATTATTATATATATTATAGATGAGTTAGGAAGTGTTTAAAGGGCTGTCTGTGAAACTAAGTTTTTAGTACTCCATTTTAATGTCCTGTGATATTTTTCTCTGCATAGATTGTTTTTGTGGTCTTTTTGGTTCAGCTAATAGCTAAGACTGGTATGTACAGGATGATGCTGTAGCTCTTAACAATAAAGATGATGGATTTTGTGCTATTATATATTGAATTTTCCTTTTTTAAAAAAAATTAAAAAAGCTACCGTTTCTTATTATTTGCATGCTGTGTCATGGAAACTGCTGCCTGCTAAAATATGGCCTGAGTTTTACAGTAAGGTATGTCTGAAAGATGAAAATGTAAAGTAACCTGCATGGCTGCAAGTCATTTAAGAGCAAACAATAAAATGTAGTGTAAATGAGAACTTTGTATTTAATGGCATGTGTATGGAAAATATTTGTAATCATATTTTTGCATGAGTGCAACATTTGAAGTGAAAAAAAGGATTTTATTCAAGGTTAGCCCTGATGACAAGAAGCCTACCAAATTAATGTTCCTAAATAATTAAAATAATAAAATAATGCATTAAATGTGGCAGGTTGTCTAAGTCAAGGCAGCAGTTGATACATAAAATTAAAGGAAGGCCAGAATATTTTCCATTATCTTGTCTGCACATCACAATTACCACACATGCCTTTTGTGCATGAATGCTTTCATTTTTGCTTTCCATTGAAATCTTGATTGACTGTGGTGCCTAACAAATGCTTTATCTGAAAGACATTAGACTTTCATCTGATAAAGACAACAGTTTGATTTTGCCCTTCAGCTGCTTTCTCATTTATGTATATTTTTTTCAATTTTATGTAGACATAAATGTAATAAAAAACTCAAGTGAGCTGTTAACTGCAGTTTTTATACTTGTTGTTATGTTAATCTGTAATACCGTGGCATTCTTAAGGATTTTTTGTTTCACAAAATGAGTTAGAAAATAAAGAGAATAGAAGCAGAGTGGCAAATGACAGATCATAGTTTGAAGGATTTTGAAGATCTTTTAATAGGTCATTTGAGTGCAGAAACAGTTTTAGAAAGGAGATGACATCTATCAATGGTGTTCAATTATGTTAAAGAAGAAATAAAGTTTACTATATTTTAGGTATGTAGCGTTGTTATAAAAAGCTTTGTGTGGTGTATAGTATTATTTCATACAGAAGTCATAGAATCATATAATTTTAGAGATTGGAATGGACCTTATAGATCGTCTTGTCTCAGCCCCCTGCCATGGACAGGGACACATGACATCTATCAATGGTGTTCAATTATGTTAAAGAAGAAATAAAGTTTACTATATTTTAGGTATGTAGCGTTGTTATAAAAAGCTTTGTGTGGTGTATAGTATTATTTCATACAGAAGTCATAGAATCATATAATTTTAGAGATTGGAATGGACCTTATAGATCGTCTTGTCTCAGCCCCCTGCCATGGACAGGGACACCTCCCATTCCATTACCACCTCTTACGTATGAAAACAAACTTCTTGTCTCACCACCCTCATTACCTCTTATGCATGAAAACAAACACAAGTAATTGTTAAAATGAAGTAGTAGTAGTTGACTTGAGGTAGAACTTGAATAACTTCTAAGAGTCTTGAATCTGGAAACTTGAGTGGCTGAAGAATTGAATTTTTTCTCAGCTAAGAGTTCAGTGAGTCATGTTAGGAAAGTTGCATTAAGGGATAGCGTACTTCAGGCTTGAACATATTCGTCTGGGCATACCTACACTCATATTTCATACCCCTTGAAAGCCACTTGTTTTATGGCTTTTGTACTCTCTGCTTTGTGAAGATTGTTGTCATGCAAACTTACCCCTAGTTTCTTTTAAGTTCAACTCAGAAAGTTAAATCAAATTAGTTCAAATAACTGCAAAATAATTCAAATAAATTGCATAAAGTTTGTATTTATACCTACTAAAGTAAAATCTAAAAAAAAGTTACTAGAAAACTCAGTACTTCTTTCATCTGTGTTTCAAGAGTACTAATCTGTGAGTAATGATTAATATTTTGTATGTCTAAGTCCTTTAAATGAAGATCTACATAAATTAAAAAAACCCATAAGTTTGAGCTTAATTGTGCTAATTTGGTTTATTCTTTTTTACATTGACATTAAATTACATTAAAGATATTTGCAATTTAGGGTGTTCTCTTTCTTAATATTGTAAGTTTTTTGTTTACATTTTCAATTTTTATATTTTAAGTAATATTAATGAGCTAGAAAAACAGCACATGTACTGTAAAATTTCAGGTGAAATCTTGAGTGTGGATGTGTAGAAAATGATAGGAAGTCTATCATCCATTGACTAATCAGAATTTGATTTGAACATTCCCTAAGAATATAATCTTATGTGTATGTGCTGAAATAGTGACTATTATTGGTCAAATTGTGCTATCCTTGATCATACAAGGTAAAATACAGCAAATCAACCCGCTGAGTCCAATGGTGTTGTAGAATTACACTTTTGGGAGTAGTATTGTAATTTGTCCGTATATGATTTTCATTGAGCAGCTACATTGAAAACATTATGGATACATTCTTAGTACTGCAGATAAGCATTCCAAATAGCTTGAAAATGGTGATTAGCTAGGGAGTGGAACCCAATCCACTTCAGTTTACCTGAGTGATAATAGGTCTGATGTTGATGTGGTTATGTGATATGAGTTGCATGTGATATGTAGGAAAGATACTCTCAGGCTGGAAAAAAAACCACAAAAGAGAATTCCAGGTAGCAATACTCACAGTCCCTCAATAATTTATAGATTTGAAGTTTTTTATAAAATATATTCTTCATCCCTGAACCATTTCATGTATGCTTAAAGACTCTCAGTGCAGCACTGTCCTGTGTGCATCAGTCCTGCCCTTCCTCAGTTGCAGCTAGGAATCTGCTTAGTATTCTTTGCTTCCACCTTTCCCCAAAGATGAGAAGGCTTTCACTTCTATTTTGCATGTGGATTTTAAAACCAGAAATGGTATGGAATTGTCATACTGAGGTGGAATATCGTTGACAAAGGATTTCTCTTCACCAGCCCAGGGTTAATGCTGTAACCAAAGAAATATTTTCTTTGGGTAATACAAATAGCTTTGGAAAGATTAGACACTTTGGGCTATGTTATCTCTCAGAATATTGTATGTAGACTCTTCTAATGGCTTGTTTTTGATTGTTAACACAATCTGAAGCCTATGCTTTCACATATTCTTTGCTATTGTTGCTTGTGTTAACTAGATGTGGATTTAAAAAAGCCAGAGAGGTACGTTGAGTTTGGTGGATAAATGTACTCTCCCTTATAGGTTAGGTGTTCATGCCCAAACATTTGGCCATCAAAGGCTGAACCACATACTTCTAATTCTGCTCTAGGTGTTGAGAATGCCAGTGTTTCTATAAATCATAGATTGGATAATTTTGAATTTGATGTTCTTTATCTCATGGATATAAATCAGTGAGCAACCTACCCTTGATCTTTGATTATTGCTCATTAGCTCCTATGAAATAATTTTTTTTAATTCTTATTTTGTGTTCTGTGTAATCATTTCCAAGAGGACAAATAGGGTACAGGTCTGCCATGTCTCAAGGGGCCATCCAAGAAACTGGGGTTGCATGTGAATTCCTAAAATGTGCCTGTTCTTGTGAACTGATTTACTTAGTGGATTAGTGTTAATGGATTAAATTAAGATTTCTTGTTTCCCTTAAAAGCATGAATGTACTACAGAATCTGCATGGTAGTTGCATTCTAGATGGATTTCAGTATTTTTTTAAATTTAGATATGGAATCTTACAAAGCATGCAGGATTCACTGGTAATCCTGTAAATTGGTAATTTTAACATCAGCTTCGTATTTGGGAATGGTTCTAGGGTGTTGCAGGCCTGCATTTAATGCTTTTGTAAGGGTCTTGTAATATTTCTAATGTAAAGACCTCTATTCAGTGTTCTTTTAGGTATTTTTTACATCTGCTAACCAATTATCCTGCAGGGATTCTCTTTCCTGAAAGAAAAGCTTGTGTGACCTTACCTTTAGCCTGGCAGAACAAAAGACCTTCTGATCAACAGTCTTGTAATGAGGAAATACTACCTTCCTTTCTTTCCTTGTTCATTGAAGGGGAGTGCTTTTGAGAAAATGAGGTGAATGAAGCTGAAAAGTCTGTGTGTGAAGGTGTAGACTTTGACAGAGTCAAAAGATATTTTATAGAGGTACAAAATGTGCAGGCTGCACTTTGATTTCACTGTGAGAGCTCTGTAACCACAGCAAGTGTTCTCCTGTACATTTCTTGTAATGGATTTTGAGCAAGTTATGTTCTGCTGTTCTGTGTTATTTGCAACTTTCTTGGAATTCAGCAACAAGCTTGTCTTCTGGTTTGACTTGTCACCACTATTTCTGATTTCTTGGAGCTATAGTGGTACAACTTAAGTTTTGGATATCTGCCCATCGTTTGCTTTTTATAATCTTGTATTGAGCTAATGTAGCATATTGCAGTAATAGAATTTAGTACAAAATTTGTTTTCTCGAGGCAAACTCAAACTCTCCCTGCTTTTAGAAAATAAGCTTTTTTGCTGCTTTCAACACCTGCTCTTTCTTGAGTCTCAAGTATCACTTTCAATCACATTTTTCACAGTAAGTTTCAGTATATTTCTATTGTTATGCTGCTCAGGACTGAGATTTCTTGAAGCTCAAAAACTATAGATTCTAAGTTATGATTGCTGTCATTATGTTATAGGCATTAATAGTGCCAAATAGTTGAAGTTCATGTGCTGGAGTCTACTAATTGTAGGATTTAGTCAGCTAAGCTGAACATGTATGATAAAACTATACCTATCAAGTAGTATTTTTTGAAACTGAAGGGCATTATTTGCAATTCCAAAAGAGAGTAAAGAATTTTGTGAGAAAAAATAATGATAAATTTGAATAAAATTTTGTCTCAGGGCAGCTTTTAGTAGGCTGATCAGCACAACTCTACATTATACCTTAGCTGTTTAAGTGCTATTTAACCTTATTTCTGATAAATTAGATACAAATTCCTCTTTGAGTACTGATGAGTGTGTTAGGATTGAATGTACAAAGAATATAACAACAATAATATGATAACCTTAAAATTGTTCTGAGATTTTGGGGTGGTTAATGGACATAAATATAAGACTTATCAGAGTAAAGAAGTTAAATCTAACATTACAGAGAAGACTATTGTGGAAAATTCTTGTTCCTATTTTTTTCCTCAAGCTATTAGAAATATGTAGATGGTTAATTGATTGAAAGTGATTCTTTTCGTTTTTTCAAAAAAATGGTTCAATAGTGAGTGTGGAGTTCCAAGAATTAAACTATTTCTGTGAATGATAAACTAACATTTACACAAGAGGGATTCAACAAATTGTAAAAACATTTAGATAGAAAGTTGTATTTGTTTACTGTATAGATGGTTTGTAAGTGCTAGGTAAACCTAGCACTTGGAATCCTACTAAATTTATTTACTGCAAGTGATTTTCTGGTGTGCATATTGAGCATTAACATAAAAAAAAAGCCTCCAACAATAATAGATTTCTCTAAAGAGTAAGAAAATATGCCTAAATTTACAGGTCCAATTTTATTTTAAACTCTTTCAGTTCTTAACAAACAAAGAAAACCCAAACCCCCGTAACCCTTCCCCCTGAAAAACAGTTGAAAAACCTAGGGGATGCATTTGATTTTTGCAGATTTTTCAGAACCTAGGAATGACATGATAAAAATATCTAAACCATGTTTGAACAGTATTAACTATTTTAAAATATTAGAAAAATTTCCTACGTGTTTTAATGCAGAGATACACAATTTTGCATATCTTGCCTTCTTAGGGTTCTTCTCAAGCAGATTTCGAGCATGTGGTGCTTTTCTTCGCCACAAGATGGCACTAATTTCTCCATCAGTATTGAAAAAGTATGGAATTCCTTTTGACAAGGTACGTTGGTGTTTCTTTTTAAAAACTTTGCATTCCTATATCAAATTAGATTGTGTTTACTGTAAGGATTGTTATAGTAAAGGGGAGGAAATTATTTTTTTCCAGGCATGCATGAAAAATGTGTTAGAACTTTTATATGGTTTAGCTTGGTATTTTTTAGCATTGAACACTTGTAGCCATCATAATCTTTATCCTAAAAATTTCTGTGATTTTTTTCTAAGGCATTACCAATATTACTTATTTTTAATTTGTTTCCATTCTAGCATGGATGTAATTTTCTATGGACTGAAACACTTCTTAACTTGCTTTATTAATTTAAGTTGTATATGTAATATTTTAACATAAGTGTTTAATTTCTTTATGTCTGCATGTTGCTTTTCTAATGCAATTAATGTAACTTTATCAGTATTATGATCTAAAAAGTTTAAGGTGAAGTAAAGCCAAAAGAACTGTTATTCAATTTAAAATATCTTTTTAAAGCTATAACATTGGGGAAAAAAGAGTAAATGTTTATTTTTTGCTGCCAAGTAGTGACAGAATAAACATTTGAAAAGAATGTTATTGAAACAGAAATTGGGAAGAATGACTAGCCTTCTTCTTTGTGGCTGAATTTAATACACAGCTGCTTTTAAAAGCACCTGAAGTATTCTGTTTCTTCTCCTTTCTGCAAGATCTTCTACCTCATTGTTTTCCACTTTGAAATTCCTATAGGTGCCAGCTAATAAAATGCTTTCAATACATTGCTGTTTTCTAAGTGTATTTATTCAAAACACTGAATGCTTTGCAAATTCTAAAGTTCTGAAATTTCGAGTTTTGTAAACCTACTGAGAAGAGTAGAGCTTGATTCAGAAAGTCCCCAGCCTGAACATCTGCTCATGTTAGTACTGAGTTTTTAAAAGCTTTTTGATCATTAAGAGACTATGTTTCTTGGTTTCCCACTGCGCAAACTGTTTTAAGTTGTTCAGAAGAATCAGGCAACATGCACTTTTTCTCATCTATTTCCACTGTAATATAGTCTTGTAAGCTGTCCTTGCCACATGTCTCACTTATTATTGTGGTTTCTGTTTTAGTGTTTAAAGCTGTTTATTTATTGATATCATGTGGGCATGTGTATATGAACTTAGCTTAACGTGTTCCCCAGCCTGGAATATAGGATAATGCAGTGCTTTCTGTCTGGATTAGTTGATGTTTTTCTAACAGTATGAAACATAACCCATAGTAATAATATTTAAGGGAATGTTTTCATATATGTTATTGCCCAGCTGGCAGCTAAACACCACATGGTGCTTACTGCCCCCCTCTTGGTGAAACGGGGCAAGAGAATTGGAGGGGTAAGAGGTAGAAAACTTGTGGGATGAGATAAAGACAGTTTAATAGGGAAAGGAAAATTTGTGCACCCAGGCAGAGCAAAATGAGGAATATATTCACTGCTTCCCATGAGCAGGCAAGTGTTCAGCCATCTCCAGGAGAGCAGAGCTCCATCATGTGTCATGGGGATCTGGGAAGGCTAATGCTACCACTCCAGACATTCCTCTGCCTTTTTCTCACAGCATTATATACTGAGCATAATACCATGAGGTTAGCTGTCCTGACTGTGTCCCCTCCCAACTGCTTGTATACCCCCAGCCTCCTTGCTGGTGGGGTTGTGTGGGGAGCAGAAAAGGCCTTGATGCTGTGTAAGCACTGCTCGGCAAGAAATAGAGCATCTCTGTGTTATCAGCCTTGTTGGCAACACAGGTGGGATAAAGCTGCTGGTTTGTTGTATGCCTTTTTGGAATATCACTTCACTTTTCATGCTTAAATCAACCTGTGTATGAAATTGAAAAAATGTAGGTATTTAGACTGACACTGTCTGCCTTGGAAGGCAAGCTTTTTTTTGAATAAATTACTCATAAAAGAAGTAGTTTGTTTTCTGAATGATATATTAACATACGAAAATATAGTTGCTGAGTTTAGTTTTTGTAATATATGGGTATATACTGCTTCCCTTCATAGCCTTGTGCTTTATCATGAAGTGTCAGGTGAAACTTTCCAAACTGGAAGGTTTTATAACTGGATTTATAGTTTTGGATTTACAGAACATTACTCTGAATAGTGTAATTTTCAGTGGTTGGTGTTTAAAGTAGAATATTGCAGAATGCCAGCATGTTTATTTTCAGTACCACACATTGGAGGTGGGGTAAGGGAGCTGATCTTCGTATTTCAGTGTCTTGATTATTCCTGTGTTCTAATTTAAAAGAAAAAAAAAAGAGAAAAAATGGGTGCTACAAATAGTTAAATATTTAAGTTTGATTCTGTCACCTAGTCTTTGGAGGAAGCAGACTGTACCCAAGTGTAATTGTAATTAATGGGATTCAGTGAGAAAGTGAATAGAGAGAACCAGGCTGTGATCTCTCATGGCTCAAAGTGATAGAAGTGGAAATGTGCTGAATGCTGATAAGTCAGCCTACGCCTACCAGGTGGCAGCTGAACTGCTGCTTGTTGCAATGGAACACCTGCTAAACTGTCAGCAGTGGGAGGGTATATTGAGATAAATTTTGGAATCGTTAGCATTGAGAATAATCTTTCTTAAACATTCCCACAGCAATTGTTGGAGTGCTACAGTAACGGATATAATATATGCAACTATATGTGCATTTGCATGTATATACTAAATATGAACCCACAGAAAATTTAACCTTGCCAAATGTGAGATCCAATTTTTTTCTTTAGCTTTGCTAACTAAGTATATTTTTCTTGTTTTCCTCTCTTTCTTTCATCCTCTATTACAATCAGAAATAAGATATCTTGAAATGCTAACCCTGTGTGTTCTTGCATTGAGCAGAAGAGCATACAAAGAATTCTAAGATAAGAATTTTGAAGGAGATTCTAAAAGCAGAAATTTAATGCCAGCAGAAAGCTGAGATTTAGGATACATTATGTTAATAAGACAAATGTTTAGGACTGAATTTTAATTTTGGTGATTCTTTAACTCTTTCTTTTCATGATTTCAATTTTTAAGTGTATTTCCCTAAGAAGAGTCATATTTGTACTTCCAGTTTTTCTTACTGTATTGCTTATGCAAAGCATTGCCACACAATGAAAACAGCCTATTTAATTTCTGAGAATTCTCCCTATTTTCTTGTAATCATTGAATACATCTTATTGAGTAGTCATCAGTCATTGTTCAGGTTATTTGCTTCATTTAAATGGATCTGTTTGCTTTTTAGTGGGCCTGTCAGCTGATGTTTGTTTCATGTAAAAAGGTATATCAAACAGAGTGCAGGGAATCTCTTTTAACTATTTACTTCTGTATAATCTACTTTATTCATTAACTCTTATCAGATAGCTCAGAAGGCAGTGTGCCATTTCTGGTCTCTGAATAGCCTGTACTTGATACAATCTTTGGTGGGCTCACTTTAAGAGATTAAAGCTGTCTCTGTGTTGAGAGAATATTAGTGACTGACAAGAAGTGCTGTCTCTTCTTTTCTCCATGTCCAGCGCAGAGCAGCAGTCCATCTTAGTATAGGAGGATGGGATTTCTCTCTTGAAAGAGAGTATCCTGACCAGTGATTTGTTTATGTTATTGCACATATTTTTGTAGTTTACTCTAGAAGCCTTTAGGTTTGATATCTCTTTTAAAACTATTGGGAATTTGGTTTGTTTTTGTATATACGAAAGTAGAACTACTGTGTTAGTAGGGTTTTTTTAGGTGGTTTTTGTGGGGAGTTTGGTTAGTTGGGGCTTTTTCTTTTTTTTTCCTGCTTTCTATAATTTTGTGTTGAGCCAGTGGCCTCAGCATGCTTTTCTTCTGCTTGTACTTGTAAAGTGCAAGTAGTCCTTTGAAATTACCCTTGCTCATTCTCTAAATCAATGTCCAGTTTTTCTTTGAGCATCTCCTTCCATCCTGCTTTTCCTTTAGTTACTTGGAATTCTTGTTCCCAGTAGTGCCAGAGTACTTCTGCTAAAATTTTGCGCAAAGAGAAGGAGGGCAAGGACAATGACAAATTAAAATTATTTTTGATTTAATGTCTAAAGTGATGTTTTAGTGGCTTTATCTTGAGATATTCTGCACTGCATTTCTAATGCAAGAATATCCTGGGAGTTAGTAGCTGTTGTCATGGAAAGAGAGTGCTGAGCACTTGCAAGAGTTAAAAAATTCAATGGCTAATGTGTAAGTGGTTTAACAAGGTTCAATGGCAAGGTGCACCTGAATATTTAATGCATAGAGGACAGGATCAGAGAGAACTGTCAGGGAGACCATCCTGTTGAGTCATGAGGTTCAGAGAGGACCCCATTGCTTTCTAAACTCCTTTTCATAGGGGAGTCTAGGTGGGGCTGGATCCAGACTTAGTCACCAGACTTGATCAACGGTTCATATATGAAGGATTATATATACACAGTCAATCCTTTTCAGCAGTTAGCTAACATTACAGTTTCAGCACATTTACTTCCAATTCTCTTACTAAGTGTCTGATGCAGCAAGGAGTCTCTCAGACTTGAGAAGTAACCTTGAGAGATGTGCCTGCTCCTGCCCTGCAGGAGAGGTCAGTGAGCCCTGGGCTGTCCACTGTTGATGGAGTAGGATGGTTGACTTAGTCATGTTCACATACCAGGGGGATATCTAGGTGAGTGCATGAGACAGCCCTTAGTTACTGTGCTGCCATCCATCTCCCCAAAGTCCATCTTAAGCTATATGCAGCCATCTGAAGTGCCACTGGTGGCTATTGCTTTGGACTGGACAGAGAGAGCACACTGCCACAGCTGTAAGGTTGAAGAGTTTGTGCATGGTACTTGTTTATTCTTCTTCTTCCCCCTCTTCTCTCTTCCCACGTAAAGACACTACCTGAGGGATTCCAGTGTGCTTGTTTGGGATGAACAACATTGTTTTATTTAACTGCTAAGGCTTATTAAATAAGGGTTTCTCCTACTTTATGCTTTTCTTCTGGGAGTAAGGAACTTAAAAGGCAAATCCAGGCCCTCAGTCACTAGTCTTCATACTTCTTGAAATGGATGAGTGTAGGAGAGAAGGATGAGAATAAGATCTCTCTCCAGTCTTTAGAAGAAGACTTTTGATGCCATTTTAGAAAAACTTCTTCAGGGTGCTGGACAGAATAAGTTCTTCCACAATTAAGTTGTGCTAGTATTTAAGGATGATAATTTTGAGTATTTTGATCCAGCCTGTCTCTGTTTCTTTTCAACCAGTAAGAATGATAAATTCTTTACACTGCCCTTTCTAGTTCCCTTTACTTCCAGATTTTATTACCAGTAAACCTCTTCTCCAAGATTAGCTTTTTTGTATGTTCTTTCTGAATTTGTAAAGTATTACACATAGCTGTGCATTTTATAGTAAAGAATGTTGTCTCAAGTATACTGCTTCTGCTTGCATTAAATCTCATATGTGTACAAGGGGAAAAAACCTCTTTGTTTTTAGTTAGTTGTAAAGGTGAGTAAAAGATTCATTGCTTTAGGGGCATAACTACTTTTGTAATGTGGTTCACTTTGATTATTGTTTTAATTTTTTTTTAAAATGTCACAGGTTATACAAGAGGCAGGAGAATTTATAATCACATTCCCATATGGATACCATACAGGATTTAACCATGGATTTAATTGTGCAGAGTCAACAAACTTTGCCACCGTCCGATGGATTGATTATGGAAAAGCAGCAAAATTGGTAAGTTGTACTGCAGAAAATTGATGTGTAAGGAGAGCTTACCTGTGGTTATTTCTTTGTGAGCATCTATGGAAGCTGATGAGAAAGAGAGAGCTATTGGGTCAGGTAGTACCTTTTTCTGCTATTGAATTTTTATTTATAGTTGTTATTTTTATAGTGAGTGTTATACTCTCAGCAATGTTTATTCCTCCCAGTAGTGAGTTTTGTTGCAGATTAATGTGTATACTGTTGTTCAAAACCAATTGTATTTACAGATGTATTTAAGATGAAGCTACATATACTGTAGTTAGTATATGTGAAGTCAACTGACTTCTGCTCTTAAATCTCCTTTAAGCTGTACTCTTTGTGAAAGCACTTTAGTTTCACTAGGAATTTTGATACCTAGAAAGAATCCTAAGTAATGAAACTTCAAATAAAGTTTACAGAAACAAGTTTGACTTTTCTCTTCTTTAATGTAATCAGATAACTTGCAGTACAAAACAATAATAAAGCAATTGTGTGAGGTGTGTTTTATTGAAGATCATTTAGATTGTAATCTTTTTCTGTGGTATGCATATCTTCCTCCCTTTTACGTGCAGCATAGAATCATAGAATTCTTAAAGTTAGAAAAGTTTTCCATGATCACAGAGTCCAACTTTTGACCAAACACCACCATGCCAACTAAACCATAGCACTAAGTGCCACATCCATATGTTTCTTGAACACTTCTAGGGATGGTGACTCCACCACCTCTCTGGGAAGTCCATGCCAATGCTTAACAACCCTTTCAGTGAAAAGAGTCTTCCTGATATTCCACCTGAACCTCTCCTGGCACAGCTTCAGACTATTTTGTCTTGTCCTGTTGCTGGTTACCTGGGAGAAGAGGCCATCCCTCACCTGGCTACAGCCTCCTTTCATGAAGTTGTAGTGAGTGATGAGGTTTTCCCTGTGCCTTCTTTTCTCCAGACTAAAGAACCTCAGTCTCAGCTGCTCCCCATAGTCTTCCTGATATTCCACCTGAACCTCTCCTGGCACAGCTTCAGACTATTTTGTCTTGTCCTGTTGCTGGTTACCTGGGAGAAGAGGCCATCCCTCACCTGGCTACAGCCTCCTTTCATGAAGTTGTAGTGAGTGATGAGGTTTTCCCTGTGCCTTCTTTTCTCCAGACTAAAGAACCTCAGTCTCAGCTGCTCCCCATATGACTTACTCTCTAGACCCTTCACTAGTTTTGTTACTCATCTCTGTACATTCTCCAGTACCTCCATGAACACAGCACTTGAGGTGTGACCTCACCAATGCCAAGTACAGAGGGGCAGTCACTGTCCTGGTCCTGCTGGCCACACTATTGCTTATATAAGCCAGGGTGTCATTGGCCTTCTTGGTCACCTGAGCACACTAATTCAGCTGCTGTTGACCAGCACCCCCAGGTCCTTTTCCACAGGGCAGCTTTCT